GACCGTTGGTCCCGACCCATGTGTATTTGATTGAATGGGTTTGGAGGCTGCCTTCCTGTACATTTGATTGCCGTCAATGGATGTTCTTCTATGATCGATGGCAGAGTATGCATTGTAACACCGTCCGTACTCGGAGAAATTCGAAGAGCTCGCTGCTTCTTAAATTTTTTTAATCTGAATTATAAACACCGCGGTACTCACAATGCAGATAATTTGGAATATGATGATAATTTTCATTCCGAAAGCTATCAGGCTGATCACATATTGAATACCCTGGCTCAATTGGTTGAAACAGCCCTGCGGGAATGGAGCACTACTTTCATCTAGCGAAGTGAAGCACGAATAAGGGATCCTTTTGTCACGGTTGAATTCAATCCAATCGGTGTAGTTATGGATGCCACAGCATTCCAACTGAAAATTGAGAACACCGTTCATGGTTCCTGTAAGCACTCTATCCAACTCAAATTACCGTCCGTTGCATGAAGTCAATCGATGCGCGTACATTCGGATCGTATCGGAACTGTGAAAATGCGTAGTTCATCCTCATTTTCACCATATCGTCCACTAGTGTCATGATGTAAGCCGGTATGGCGTTGTTAATGGTATCCAAGATCACCAGTATTGAGAAGAAAATGATGTACTGGAAAATGTTGTAATCAAATAAGCTAATTATTTAGGAAAAGCAATGCATATTTCAACTTACAAACATGATCACACTCACGCGTTCGTTGATGATTCTCACAGATATAATCAACACGGTTTTGTAATTACTTTATTTGTACAGGCTCAATCGAATAAACTTTACAGAGCCGAGTTATCCTTTGCGTTATACATTATTACTGTCTTATATTTAAAGTTAAAGGAACTGGACCGAGTACTCGCGGTCGTCTCGAGGTTAGTGGATATTTACAATTTTTTGGATGGGAAAAGGGAAGAAGGAGGTTTAATAATCAACACGGTGATAAGTATTATTATTCCAGTAACCAAGATGGATTTCGTCAATGAATGGAAGTAGCCATCGAGGAAAATGTAAAAATCGTCGAAAATAATACCAGCACGTGCACACCTAGAACGATTTGAATTATCTCGAGGATTTTTCGCGTAAACAAACCATGAATAATCTTCCATTACTGTATTTGCATTCCATCCAGTTACGTACCGAACACATACCCGTCAGCACTAGGACCGAATATTTAACTATAGACAAAGTTTTTCGCGATAACGGTTGCTGCTGCGTCACCTTCTGGGACAGTGGCTGAGAATTTTCCGGGTGAATCTTGTGGCATTTTCAGTTGGCTATTTACGCTCAAATCCTGAAATATCACGAAGGGCAAACTTTTGCGACTTTGATTTCCCAACTGATGACTGCAAACTGAAGGTTATCTAAATGGAAGATATTACCCATTCTACGGTTCCACTTCGAAAATGATGATTTCAAATTGCGATAAAACCGTAAAATGTAATTTTGATCGAAATCTTTATCTGAATTGATCTACGTTTACGATAACATATGTCCGATAAATGTGGAGTAAAAATAATACTGTATCACTAGAAAGCATGCTGTTATTGAAGCTTGTTTTTTTTTTCCTTTGGTTTGTTTTTTCCGTCGATCTTGTTTTCCGTGCTGAGCACCAATGCTACCGACGTGCCAGGAAGGCAGCTCCCACACCTGGACCCTACATATCGACCCATCAACTCATGAACCGGGGACCAACGGCTTTACTTCCCATCCGAAGGAAGGCGTGATCAGAGATGTTATGCCTCAGAACATCCCGGCGGCGCCGACTGGGATTGAACCCAGGCCTGTTGGGGTGAGAGGTAATCACGCTTACCACTACACCACCGGCGCCGTTGTTATTGAAGTTTGAACTATTTTAAAATTATATTACAAATAAAAACAGTTTGCTGTTTAGTATATCTAAGCATTGGAACCCTTGATTTTTTCCACTGAAAGCTCTGCTAGCCGTCGGTGATTGGCACTAGATTACGGAACAGAGACCGACGTTAAATAAAGGAAAGAAAAAAGACGTAGGGGAAATGTATGTAATGTCGGCCTAAATGTCCCTAATTTGGGCCCATACATAAATTCAGCAATCGACTAAATTTTCAATAGCGACCAAAAATATCCATTAGTACCGTCCCAATTACACGTTCAACTAGATAAAATTGATAAATAGCAGATTTTTAGCGATGGGCCCAATCTTAGATCCATAGGCCAACATTAGAGCCATTTCCTCTATATAAGTACTAGCCACCTCAGCTAGGAGCAATTCTGAGACTCCCTGACTACAATGGCCTCAGGGTCGGCACGCTTACCGAACTAGGTTTCCACGTAGCAAGGAATGATCGCACTAGATACAGTAAAAAACTCCCACTTTCCTAATTTCTATCTTACCTGTTTCTGTTGTCTTTTACTTCTTGTTCTGGGCCTCGCAGTTCCACCACCACGTTTCCTCGACTACTTCTTCGCTCGGCTCCACGTTCCACCTTCTTCCTTGTCTCCTTCGGCGGCGTTCGAGACCACCTTCGCGCGCTACTGATCTTCTCTCGAAACTTCTGATTTTGACGGACTCGGCTTCGACACCCTTAAATTTGACGTTTTTCGGTTTCAGCATCTGTTTTAAATGATGCTCAAAAATCATAGATTACTCAGTTTTTTTAAGGATTTAGAAGCGAAGCTTTCTCTACGTGCATATTTTATAGATGGTGTTCAAAGATCAATTCTACATACGTGAACTGAGCTTCATACAAACTGATGTGACCGCTCCAAATAATATGGAACAGATTCCACCATGCGAGAGTTAATAATGATTGATCATATCAAACAATTATTATTCGTCATTTAGCGTAATTTGCAGGGGGAACGACACTTCAGGATTATCCCATTTTTACCAAAACCTCTCATAAAATTTTCAACGTGCACAAAATTTCAATCCATCCTATTTATTCTTTCTATTCCCAACTTATCCCTTCTGCATGCACACAAATTGTCAAGCAAGCCGTGCAGTTTCTCGAAGTTTTCAGGTCGACCGCGAAGCACTCTGCTATACTCACTGTCAGTTTTCAACAATCTCCACAACAAACACCATGTATGTCAGCTGGCTATACCGGTTAAAAACCGGTGCGAAAACTTAAAAAATATGATGGACCACTCGTCTAAAATCGGTCGCGGGACAACATCAAGTGCATCACGGAGAAGACGGCAACGCACATCCATTTCCCGGACTCAAACCGATCGAAGTTGACGGATAAGAGCCCAGGTGTCTGTGTGATGAAGCATGGAAGTAACGACAAGCAGGTGAAAAAGGACTTCAGGTCATTTTTTCCACTGGGCGCAAGTTTTTCTCATTGCTGCTGCTGGTCAAGGATTCGGAGAAGAAAGAGCTAATGGTAAAGGAATACACCCACCGGCTGATTGAGTTTCTGTGCGAGAATATTGTGAATGAAATTCCCGTCCAAATACAGCTGAAAACATTAATCGGAATCTAGTGATCCATCGCCACCACCCGTTCCTCCTACGGTGCAGTTTCGACCTATTTGGTATGGAACCGAGGGGAACGACTCTATCTACGATGCAGGAAATATTGTGTATTGATGTGGCTAACTGCACGTACGCTGAGTAGATAGAAAGAAGATTTATCACGATTTTGAAGATTTCCTGCAAAAAGATAATGCACGATGCAAGTGGATGTGACAAATGAAAGAAGATTTTTCGAAGATTTATTCGCTAGTGTGAGATTTTTTAAGCATCATCCCCCTCGTATGGAACCGTTTTCTGCACTTGAGCTGTGATCTTTGGTTAACATTGTTGGGCGGTGTCCATTAATTACGTTACGCTAAAAATCAATATGTTCGACCCCTCCCCCTTTCGAACAAAACGTTACACTGAAAATGTTCCCCCTCTATTTATTGCGTAACGCTCTAAAAAAACACCCCCCCCCCCGCCCGTCGCATTTCATTAATTTTTGATTCCGGTATGTCTTTTTTATTTCTAGGTAATTGTATTATTAATATTCAACATAAAAACAAAATATCAACGTACCATCGAGTACCTGCTTTTCAAAAGTTTAAGCATAGCAAAAATCTCAAGATGTAGCATTAAAACATATCCATTTTGGAAGCAAGATTTAGTGATTACATTTTTTGACCTGTATTTTCAAACTTCACATCATAAAAAAAAAAAAAAACTAAATGTTCTCGTTGTTACGTAACGGAAAGCTTTACCCCTATGTAATAATTCGTTACGATATAGGTGACCTCCCTCCCCCTTTAAGCGTCACGTAATTTATGGACGCTGCATTGCAGCAGATTTTTCTTCTTTTTACACCTTTTATTCTTCGAGTTCGGACTTGTATTCCTCTGAAACTTTTTAATACCTCTTACATCACATCTATTCCCTGATCTATCCCATCTATTTTTTCTATCCGTGCTCTATTTTCGTCAACACGACACACTCAAAAAAAAAATCCCATCAATTATGTTTTTCCCCGAAAAGTACTAGACTGAAAAAATACATCCAAGTGAGTGTCGTTCCCCTGGTAATTTGGCATTTTTCATGTTCAAAAGCTTCACCATTAGCATAGATTGGTATTAAACAAAAACATGTTGGTAGTTTGCCGGACTTGTTCTGCAGCAGACTGTATTGACTACCGGAGTGATTTGAGATTTGGGCGTTATAGCTTTTGTAAACAAACGCTTCAATTGACGATTTCTCACGAATAAAAGCTCAGCCTAAAAAATTAACAACACAAACAGGTAAAGGAATGATTCATCTAGCATGTGATGTAATTTGATCCCGAGATTGAGCTTTTGTTCGTGAGAAATCTACGATTGACGTCTACGATTACGGCCAAATAATTCCGGAATTTTAGATAAGCAGGTACAAGCGTTTATGATGCACTGCTAGGCTGATCAGAGCAGTAGCAACTGACGTTTATTCAACATTCATTTAATAGTTCATACACACCCAACGAGTATTATGTTCAATATTCAGGTGCTGCCTAGAATCGCCCCTTTTCTTCTATGATCGATGGCAGAGTATGCATTGTAATACCGTCCGTACTCGGAGAGTTGCGAAGAGCTTGCTGCTTCTTAAAATTTTTAATCTGAATCATAAACACCGCGGCACTCACAATGCAGATAATTTGGAATATTATGATAATTGTCGTTCCGGAAGCTATCAGATTGATCACATATTCAATAACCTGGCTCAATTGGTTGAAACAGCCCTGCGGGAATGGAGCACTACTTTCCTCTAGTGAAGTGAAGCACGAATTAGGGATCCTTTCGTCAGGATTGAATTCAACCCAATCGGTGTAGTTATGGATGCCACAGCATTCCAACTGAAAATTGAGAACATCGATCATGGTTCCTGTAAGCACTCTATCCAACTCCAATTACCGTCCGTTGCATGAAGTGAATCGAAGCGCGTACATTCGGATCGTATCGGAACTGTGAAAATGCGTAGTTCATCCTCACATCCACCATATTCTCCACTTGGTTTGTCAAGATGTAAGCCAATATGGCGACAATGGTCTCCATGATCACCAGTATTGAGAAAAGAATGATGTACTGGAAAATGTTGTAGCCAATTAAGTTAATGATTTTGGAAAAGCAATGAATATTTCAACTTACAATCATGATCACCATCACATTTTCGAGGATGATTCCCACAGATCCAAACAACGCGATGATAAGCATTATTATTCCAACAGCCAGGATGAATTCCGTTAATGAATGGAAGTAGCCATCGAGGAAAATGTAAAAATCGGCGAAAACATTACCAGCACGTGCACCTAGAACGATTTGAATGATCTCGAGGATCTATCGCGTAAACAAACCATGAATCATCTTCCATTACTGTATTTGCATTCCATCCAGTTACGTACCGAACACATACCCGTCAGCACTAGGACCGAATATTTAACTATAGACAAAGTTTTTCGCGATAACGGTTGCTGCTGCGTCACCTGCTGGGACAGTGGCTGAGAATTTTCCGGGTGAAAATTCGTCATCTTGTGGCATTTCCAGTTGGCTATCAACACTCAAATCCTGGAAAATCACGAATTCAAAAAGGGCAAACTTTTACGAGTAATAATTTTTGCGACTTTGATTTCCCAACTGATGTCTGCAAACTGAAGGTTATCTAAATGGACGATATTACCCATTCTACGGTTCCACCTCGAAAATGATGATTTCAATTAGCGATAACACCGTAAAATGTACTTTTGATCGAAATCTTTATCTGAATTGATCTACGTTTACGATAAGATAGACGGATAAATGTGAAGTAAAAATAATACTGTATGACTAGAAAGCATGCTGTTATTGAAGCTTGAATTATTTTAAATTAGTTTACAAATAAATACAGTTTACTGTTTAATACATCTAAGCATTGGAACCCTTGATTTTTTCCACCGAAAGCTCTGCTAGGCGTCTATAATCGAAAGCACCAACGGTGTTGTCATATTTGAGAGCATCCAGCGACGATGTGGTCTTAATTAGTCTTATCCGTTTTCCGAGGATGAAAGCAAACATGGCCGCCAAGATCTGCAAAAAGTTTATCAGTAAACATGCGCAACCATCATTAAGCGTATTTATACAACCTGTACAAAGGCGACCAACAGCAGTCCACTGAAAATCGTTTTCGAGCAATGCCTCAAAAGTGCATACATTTTCGGGAAACATCCTTCACTATGTGGTACGCAATTTCCATCCAGATATTCTCGACAACATGAGGTCGGAAGTTCGGCCACCAGATCACCGTTGTCCAGATCAATCACAGCTAAAACGTCCTCCCAATCCCGGTAGCTATTGACTCCACAGCATACCAGCTGTTAAAAAAAAGTATGTAAATTTCATCCCTATAGATAGTACTAAAAGCGCCCACCTCAAGTTGCATAAAATCCACCGATCTTTGTATATGACTGTTCCACGGATAGCGCTCCAAAGAGCTATTCAAGCTTTGCTTCAAAATCCCACCTACTTCGTGACGATGATGTACTCCAACCAAGGTGGCCGTGACTTCCAGTAGAAAAACGACCGACAACAATCCACAGTACTGTAATGAAAGTCATTGCTTACTAGATTGCATTTCACCCATCCCGGTCTTCTACGACTCACGATGTTGATCAGCAGTGAGCTTTCCCTGATGGTTCCAATAAATCCAAACAAAGCAATCGCAACCGTTATCACGCCCACTATGATGAACATACACGCCGGAGAATAGAATTGCTCATCGACAAAGGCAGTGAAGTCACTGTAAACGGATTTAGCTGCAGCTCCCGTCGAAATTACAAGCACCCCGATAAACTGGAAGCAAACAAACAATTTCGATGACCAATGCAGCTCGATATTTCACAACAGCTCCTAACTTACAATGAAATTCACATTGGTCATAAATAGGAAGAATTTGATCCATTTCATCGACCAACTTCCGGACCGGTGGTGCTCAAGTTGCATGATGGAAAATGTTAACTTGCGAGTAATCCAACCTCTTACTAATTGCGACTAACCAAAACCGTACAGCACAGCACAGACAGTCTGCTATCAGTTCAACTAGCACGAACCAACTGTCGTCCGTGCGTTGACGAAATAATGTAGATAATGAAAAAAATAATACAAACCCGGCCAAGATACCCTGTTATCAGATCATAATCAGTCGGCCGGAATCCCCACATACTGATCGCGTGTTATTCTACTTGGGAGCCATAGGCAAATGAAGCGTGGAAACATCCTACTGCGGAACTGCAAAAGGTAATCGTTTCTTATCGGTCGGCTCAGAACCTGGTGCAGGCAAATCTCAAATACCACTTGGACCTTCACCTACTGTGCCTGGTGTTTGTGGCGTTGAACAGTCCGACTATGCTAATAATTTGTTCACCTTGTACGCTTTTACTTTCCAAAGGAAGGCCCGCGAAGCCTTTCTCATGGTAATCAGAGTTGCATCCAGTAGACAACTTCGTACGGGTTGAAACGATCTTATCTGATCTTATGATGCCAGTTTGAATAAAATTGACGTAAAAAATGGGCAATTATGTACTTTGTATTGCTTCTGTCAGCACTCACCCCCAGAGTGTAAATTTATTTGAGATAGTAATGACGAAATTTGTGTATTTATCGAAGACAACATATCAAGAAAACTGACAACTCTTCCATTTTCTCATACATCCGCTATGAGACAGGCACAATAGCGTCATCTGCCACTAAAAGGTAAATGCTCCGATCGAATTTCATAGCGATGATTCCAACCCCAGAAGAAAGGTATTTGCGTATTTGCTCATTTTCCTATTCGTTGCTTTCACCTTCGCTCAAGCGCAGCGCTACTGTATCTGTCGCTTGGATTCTGGCAATGTTGCCAGTCTTCGTAATATGTTGTCTTTGTTTTTACCCTTCTTATGAAGTAACAGTTCCACGCAAGGGGTAGGTCACTCCGCACACCAATCTTGGGTCATCTTTTTTGTCAGTGTGCCGCAAGTAAGCCGATTGTGCCGGTCATAGAGCAAGCTGTGATCGTTTGTAAAATACCCATCCCGGCAACCCGGTATTTCTGACAGCTTGAATGTTATGGTTTGAAAGCAAGGATAAATCGGATTGAGGATGACGCAGGAAATGGGGAGTGTGCGAAATTTTGGTGTTTTGCGTTCATAGGATAATAAAAGTCCTGCGTTTTAGAGTTTTATAATGCCATCAAAGGCAGAGCAAAAACCTAGCCTTTCGTGATGTAAAAAGCAACGGGCTATCAGCGGCTGAAAAGAGTTTGAACCGGTTGGGAACACTCGGGGGAACATTGTTGGAGACCGACTATGGAGGATGATGAATAGACTTCTGTAGTTTGTTTTTTGTGAGTAGTAGCATTATTTGAATTAAAGTTACTAATTGGGTCTGATTTACTGCCTCTTTCTCTTGAGCCCACTCTAGAACCTATATTTCGTATTAAGATCTATAATAATTGAACTGCTGGTCTGAGTTCCTTTGGTATATTCAATTAGAGGATGTTTCTGAACATGCAGTCAAACAGCACGTAATGTTGTGAACCACTTCAATGGCAGCACTGCTGGACAGCTCCCATTTTATTCCCCACAATCCAATGCCTATGAGATTGTGCCGAAGGTTTGCCGAAGATCTACCGAAGGTATCCCGAAGGTGTGCCGATGGATGTGCCTAAGCTGTGCCGAATCTAATTTCGGCACAATGTGCTGAGTGACTTACCCCTTGGTTCCACGCCAAATGACGAATCGATCTGACGCGACCTTCTCCGATTTGCATGAAACTTTACATAATTGTTTGTTATGGTCAATCATTCACATTTTAGGTAAAATTCGGCCATTTTTAACTGACATGCTATCAAAACTTCCTCAAAGTACCAAGGCTGCAAAATGTGTATCGATTACTGGTTAACATGGTTGGTTATCAACAATGCAATTTTCAATCGCTATGATTCAGCCACCATTCGAAAGGTATGGCTATCTACTTTCCTTTAGAATAGACGCAAACACGATTGTACCTGTGGTTGGGTATCCGGAACGGAAAAATCTGCCCAAAATGCGTGTTGATTCATGTTGGCAGGACTGATTCTCGGCAACATGGTTACCAAATTTTAAGATTGAACCAATATTTGACAGGTGTAACTATTTACTTTCGAACGAAATGGACAGGGATCCGTTTGGACCTGTGGTTGACCAGTCGGGACCAACCCCTGAGTATCTAGACAGAAAACCTTAGTTTCACGTACCCACTTACAAATTGTAGATGTCTCCACCGTACGTAAGCAATGGGGTCAGCCATCGTTGGTGGCACAACTTTTCTCACATCAGAAAATATGTTTTTGTTTCACTTAATGTGGACGTCGAACTCAAGCCAAGAATAAATTATCAGTGAGACGTATTACTGATGTTGCATTGTTTTCCTCATAACGATCCTTACATAAGATTGGAATTTAATCGACTTGATGAAAATTTGAAAAATTCATTATTTGGCATGATGGGTTTTGATTCAATTCCCCGGGAGCATTGGGACATGCCCGAAACTGACAAATGTGGTCCGCGGCGCTCGAAATCGCCACAATTCATTTGGTTATCATATTTTGAAGTAATTTGTTTTCTCACATGATAGGTTTTATTCCTTACCGGTCAAATTTAGTATCATGCGGTTCACATTCTCCGGAACATGTTCCTACCCCATTTCCTGCACCAGTTGACCAATTCTGAATCTGTTCAATAATGTTCTATAGGTGAGGCTATGGGATCATGATACTTTTCGTTTGGTGGTTGACGCGAGCAATTTGCATTAGTGGTTACCGATAAATATGACTTAGTTCCCAAAATACATGTTTTTCGGAACTTGTGCCGCCCATATCTCTGAAAATAGTTGACCGATTCTAAATTTGTTCAACATCATTCAATGTGATCATAATACCTTTTATTTGCTGGATGTTTCGTTTAATTCGGTTATGTGGTTACCGAGAAAATCACCGGAACCAGTTAATCGATTAAAAATCTGTTCATTGACATTATATAAAATCATGGTACCTTTCATTTGGTCGTTGTTGCGTTCAATTCGGTAGAGCGGTTGCCGAGAAATACGTTTAAGAAAATTGTGATTTCGCGCTCTCATACACAAAAACATAGACAGACACTTTCCGATCCCGTCAAGCTGAGTCAATTGGAAGATTATTTAAAAAATATCAATATTTTTACAAAAATTAGAAACAACAACAAAAACTCAAAAACGTGAAAAAAAAGAGTTAATCAAAAATAAGACCAATTGTAAATTTACTCCACCATTATTCGATTTGACAGAACCAGAGTTCCAGAATTTTCGGGGTACATAGACATTACACTGGAGCTGTCAAATAGCTCCCGGGGTGGTCGGGACGGACCTGTGGTTGACCCGTGAGAACTGGCTGCGGAAATTCAGATTCACCGGGAAAATGGGCGATTTCTGAAAGTAGACCTAGAGATCCGTGATTTTCTCTTAATTGCATACAATCATGAGCATAGACAAAATATGCGATCACCACATTGATTCTACTATCGGGTGTCAGCATAGAGGAAAAAATTGCCATCACAATATCGATTCTGCTACCGGGTGCCTACAAAACCACAGACAAACAGACGTAACTCTTCGTTGTGTATCTTTGTTCAAGCCTTTAACGGTTGATTTGAATATTATCAGTTCTGCGAACTACTCGCCGCAGCGCTGGCATCGGATCACTTTGACGTTTCTATACATCCTGTAGAACTTTTATGAAATATTGTTTGCGAGCTAGCGAGCAAGCTTGTTTTCCGCGAGAAGCCCGAGAGATGTTTTCAAAGATTTACGTCTGTTTAACTGTGATAACCTTTGGATATCCGACATCAACGATAAAATGGTCAATTTCTGAAAGTAGACCTAGATGTTCGAGATTTTTTTTTCAAAACTTGCATACAATCACGGGTATATTGAAAATCTGCCATCACCATATCGATTCATTTGTCGGGTAGCTAAAATATGGTCCTCTGGGTATCCGGAATCACCGGAAAAATGGTCAATTCATGAAAGCAGGCCTAGAGATCCGCGATTGTTTCTAAATGGCATTCAAGCATGATCATAGAGGAAATATGCAATCTTCATATAGATTCTGTTACCGAGTGGCCAGAAAAGGGTCCTGTGGATATCCGTAATCACCGGAAAAATGGTCGATTCCTGAAAGTAGACCTAGAGATCCGGGATTTTTTTGAAAATTGCATATCATCATGAGTATATAAAAAATATGCCATCATAATTTTTTCAGAATCACCGGGATATCCGGAATCACCGGGAAAATTGTCAATTCTTAAAAATTTACATGAGAATACTATTTCTGCTAAATTACATACAATCATAAGCATAGAGGAAAAATGCTAAAACTTGATCGATTCTGCTACCTGGGTGCTGGAAAAAAGTTCTCCGGCTCTTATACGATAAGTTTACCAAAAGAGGTATTGTAAACCTCATCTTGATAAAAAACGTTTATAATAAAAGTGTTTTTGTGGCATATTTTTATTTATCGAGGAAGTACTTATTAAAATCATATTGCCATATCTTCAAAAGTGATATTTTTTAAAACTTTTTTTCACATTTTGATTTTTATTTTTAGCAGCGAAATATAATTTTTATTATTATTGATCAAAATTGAGCTATTATTGAATTTTTGACAATCATTTTCATTTTGATCAGTGACTTCGAGTGGGGAGTGCGAAGGATGCAGTCCGTACCGGGTACTTGGATTCTAGGGGTGTTATTTGGACTCCAGAAATCATCTTATCAAAATCCAAAAATTTACGTCGTGAAATTTAGAAAATTATAATTAAAATCTGCAGGTCCTCCAAAACGGATGCATGGGACACTATGGTCGGACTTATTTTTAAAAATCTTTCGGTTACATGTTTTCCCATGTGGAAAATTATTATTGAGACTAATTAAGTGATGTATCCAAAATTGAGATTTTCGTTAACATTTAGAGGTGGCGCAAGGGGTCTAAAGGGTGTCCACGATGAAATTTCCACACTATGAAATTGCTCTAACTTTTTAACCGTTGGGTAGAATTTAATGAAAATTTGGGTGGATTTAGTTC